TGTGACCTCGACAGAGGTCCGGTACCTATCACTAACTTCGAACAGCTCCGCTAGCGTGCCATACACTCCCTCGAGGTTGTACTGGCGCTTGATTCTCCGGACAGCAGCAATGCCACGGCTCGTATTGTGGTCCATCATCTGGGACAAATTGCGCTCGGCACGCTCCACTTCGTGGGAGGCATTCGACAAGATCGAATCCAGCTTAGCTTCTTCTCTCCACAATTCCCTAGCACATCGTCAGCTAATCACATTCATGGCATAGTAAACGGTTAGAGCATCACGGAATACATACTTTCTCTGATCCATCAGCCGGTCTCTCTCATCCTTCGCAGATTGCACTTGCTGCTCGACAGAATGGATTGTGTTGCCTCTGCCATCGATCTGCTTGCGCAAGCGCTCGCTCTCCGGTTCCAGAAGTGCTATGTCGTTTTCGAGTTCCTTGATATCCTCCTGGGTCTGTGCCAATACACCTTGGACAGAAGTGATAGAAGCGTAGTTATCCTTGATCGCTGCTTGCAGCCACTTGTCGCGCTCACTCTTATTACGGAAGCGAGAGTTACGACCTTGCTTGGCATATAGTCGCTGACGGGCGGTCTCTGCCTCGGTAAGCTGCGTCTTGACAGTATCCTCCTGATCCTTGGCGGCGTTGAACTGGGGCATCAATTGCTGCAGCTCTTGCTCACGTTCCTGGATGGCACTCTGAACGGCCTTCAGGTCTTCGTCGCGGCGTAGCTTCGAGGCTTGAGCGGCGACTTGATTGTCCGATTGTGATTTTGCCTGCAGTTCCACCTGTGCAAGGGCCTTGGAGGCCTCACGACGCTCATCCTCCAGCTGTGCCTTGTCCACCTTCAGGAACTCAATCTGCTGCTTGCATTCGGCAATCTCAGCATCGATCTGGGCCATTTCCTTCTCTCCTTGGATGAAGCGGTCACGGTTGAGATCGGTGTCCTCGACGCCGGTTTGACGCTGTTCTTCAAGACTGTCCAAGAAACTGGAGATTTCTTGCTGTTCGCGAGAGTAGATTGTGTATTCCAAGCATCTGCGCTCCTTGTCCTTATCCTGGTAGTTTCGCAACTCGTCCTTTTCTTCCTCCAGCTCCGCAAGACGCTCGTTGATGAAGTCCAGTAACTCGTCGATCTTGGATCGCTTGTTGTTCGTTTCGTGCATAATCTTCAATGACTCCGCGCGGCGGGCTTCATATACCTGAGTTCCCGCGACTTCCTTTAAAAGGTTGAGACGTTCAGAGTCCTTCATGTTAGTCAGAGCCGTGACACGACCCTGAGGCACGATGTAGTAGGGGTTCGAACGGGAAAACCCGGCAGATTCGAGCAGGTTCATCACATCGGACTTCGTCGCATTCTTGCGGTCAAGCGTGTATTCATCCTTCTTCAGTCCGATGGTGCGGCGAAGGACCACTTCCGGTTTGCCAGTGGGAAACCGATCGTCAGAGTTGTCAAAGATGATTTCAACGTAAGCCGACATTACAGCGGACCCCGAACCTTCCTATCCTTTTGTAAGCCTCTCAGTATTGGTTCTTGCGACGGGATACGCACGTGGAGAAGGGCCTGGCGTTCCTCTCGACCCAGGTGGGTGTAAGCATCGCTGAGGACGAAACGAATGGCCGCGAAGAAGTTACTCTTTCCGGAGCCATTGCGACCAACGATGACATTATGCTTCGGGGAGAATGGCTCGATGACCGTCTGGTCCTTGTAGCTGTAAGGCAATTGCAGTCAGCCGGAAGGCGCACTGAAGCATCATGGGTACACACTTGCAACATACCTTTTGAAGCCTTGAATAATGATCTGTTTAACGTACATCTTGACGAAGCACGCGCGACACGAGGAATCGGGGCAATTACAACAACCCAGTCATCACGCGCCCGAGGCGAAAGATATCAGGAGCCTAGGCCCTGACTAGACGAAGCAGGGCGGTGAGGTGAATGAATGCGCACGGAGGTTGCTGGGGTCGATGCGTGACATGCGACGAAGCTGACTTTGGGGGAGAGCCACGCGTTATCGAGGCGATCAGCTCCGGATCTTTTGCACGCGTTTACTTCCATTTGGGTAGCCCGCGGGGTTCTGCCGGGCGGTGAGCCATCTGCCTGTCCCACACCCAAAAGGTACCCGTTTTTTTCAGATCAATTGCAAGACTTCGCTTCTACACACATTCGATTTTCGCCCCTTTACATTCAGTCATGGCTGCTCCGAATGCTGACGCGCAAGCGTCTGGCTTGGCTGATGGCCTGAACCCAGCGCACACCTATATCCCCAACCAGGGATATGTCAACCCAGACGGCTCCCTCCCCGCTATGGCGGGGCAAGACTCTGCGGCGCAACAAAACGAAGACGAAGAGGATGACTACTACGATGACATCTTTGAGGAAGAACTCGATGAAGAAGACTTCACCTCGTCGAACCCCACCGATCTAACGAAATCCTACAATCGCCAGCGCAAAACGAACGAGCTCTCTGCGGACCCCAACACTCCCAAGTGGACCTTACCGAAGACGAACACCCAGAAACCGTCTGTCAACACTCGCGCCTCCGTGGACGATCAAGTGAAGTCATTGACGAAGCATGCTGGCAAGATCAAGTTGGACGATATGCAGTCAGGCATGGCGACCCGCGGTGATCGGGGTGGTGACAGGGCGGACCGCGCTACCTCCGAGCAGGTGCTGGATCCCCGCACACGTATGATCCTGCTACAGATGATCAACCGAGAGATTGTCTCCGAGATTCACGGATGTCTGTCGACCGGTAAAGAAGCCAACGTCTACTACTCCATCTCATACCCCGATAACGAGGAGACGCCCCTCCACCGCGCCATCAAGGTCTACAAGACGAGCATCCTGGTCTTCAAGGACAGAGACAAGTATGTCACTGGTGAATTCCGTTTCAGACAAGGATACAGCAAGAGCAACAACCGGGCAATGGTCAAGCTGTGGGCGGAGAAGGAAATGCGTAACCTGCGCCGTATCTACGCTGCCGGCATCCCCTGCCCCGAGCCCATTCACCTGCGCCTCCACGTCCTGGTCATGGGCTTCGTCGGAAGCTCCAAGGGTGTCGCCGCTCCTAGACTCAAGGATGTTGAGTTCAACATCCCCGACCCCGATGCCAAGTGGCGCGAGATCTACATGGAGTTGCTCGGCTACATGCGCGTGATGTACCAAACCTGCCACCTGGTCCACGCCGATCTGAGTGAATACAATATGCTTTACCACAAGAACAAGCTCCACATTATCGATGTCAGTCAGAGTGTCGAACACGACCACCCCCGCAGTTTGGAGTTCCTGCGTATGGATATCAAGAACATCAGCGACTTCTTCCGCCGCAAGAACGTCGACGTCCTCACCGAACGGGCTGTCTTCGAATTCGTCATCTCCAGCGATGGCCCTACCACCGTCACACCCGCAGAGCCAATGCTCGAGGCCATCGAGCACCTCTTCGCCACCCGCAATGACAACGCCGAAGGCGACACCGAGGTCGACGCCGCCGTCTTCCGTCAACAATACATCCCTCAAACCCTGGAACAGGTGTACGACTTTGAGCGCGACGCCGAGCAAGTCCGTGCCGGTAAGGGTGACGACCTCGTTTACCGGGATCTTCTCGCAGGCGAGAAGAAGAAGAAGGCAGAGGGCCACGATGAGGATGAAGAGGAAGAAGGCTCCGAAGCTGGCTCCGACGGTGGTGTATCTGTCGATGAGGGATCCGACTCGGAAGACGGAGAAAAAGATCCTTTTGCGAAGAAGGCGCCCCGCGGTAAGCGATTCGAAGATAAGGACGAAAAGCGCGACCACAAGCAAAAGGTCAAGGAGGAGAAGCGCGAAAAGCGCGCCAATAAGATGCCGAAGCATATGAAGAAACGTCTCGTTTCTTCATCGTCGAGGAAGAAGAAATGAGGGATGAAGCCGATTTGAACGCTTTTTTTCTTTTTCTTTCTGATGAGGATGCAGGCATTTTTGGAGATAATTGGGCTACTATGGGAAAAACACAAAAGTCGATCTTATTTTCTGTTTCATTTTGGAATGCACATGATCTCATGATGTTATATGACCTTTCATTGGGTGGGTATTGGTTCGTTGGATGCATATATATCTTCCAGTTTATACTATAAGCATATAGATCTGCATATGGGGGTGTAGGAAATGCAAACTTGATACGTCGGATTTATTGCAGCACTGGTGTAATCGCCTCATTTAGTATCTGAATACAATTGAGTAGTATGTTTCATCAAGGACTGGAGAGGTCTGCTACTAATGCTACTTTATCCCGTATGGGCCTTATCAGTCACACTAAAGCCGCTAGCTTTCGTGCTGAGGGAGTATACTATAATGGGAATCAATAGTGTGTAAAGTTTCAAAGTCGTTACTAACAATTGTACTTATTTGATTATCATTGGTTATAAACCATAGATATAAACGTGTAGTAATCGGGTTGGGCGGCGCCCAACAATACTCACGATTGTAATTCTCATCATTGATAAAATATATATCACGGAACTTTGATGAAATAGGTCTATAACAGCAAGGAAAAACACAAGTTACTATAATGTTAACATATATATTTCTATACAGTATATAATACTAGTCACGACAAGACAGCGATCACATGCAGTTGTCTAAACCTACCTATTACCATACTGCAACTGTACCGCAACGGGTGGCCAGGGGGGGGTTTCTCACCATGTTGAGTTATCATCAAACGGCCACTGCAGATTACAAGTTGCTCAACAATGGATTGAGTTCTTAAGTAGATTGCCCGTTCAGATCGCTGCTTATTTTCTATATATTGGAAGAAAGAGTAACTTGATTCAATGTAAGATCTATATATTTGATCAGTTACATGATTGATTGGACGACCTATCAGAGCTCTCTTTGATCTTCATTCCAGTCCATTGCCAACTGCCAAATGAAAATACACGGTAGCACTTACGTCCTGAGCGAGTCATAATGATACGCTGGAGTATGTGTCTAACGTATAGTTATTCCACCTTACTGGCAAGAGGCATGGCCGGTATCGGATAGGACAAAGCCTGAATGTGTGTTCATCATCTAGGTCGTCTACTATGTTTCATAACTGCCAAGAAATAACCCTTTGACAATCCCAAGTGGCAATCATGGGATTGACGAGCTCTCTGAGATACCACAAAAGACTACATGGCTTGTCTATTCCTCGCCTTGAGGCGATGGAGAGCCTCTTCAACCAGGGTTTTGGGGAGATGTGGAATAACTTCTCCCTCCTCTGTGCTTTCAGAGGGCGCTGGCTGGGGCTCATTGGGTTCAGCAGCTGGCTGGTCTTGTGCATCCGGCTGTTCGGGAGAGACTCCCTTGAGGTTACCCCCGGATATGCGTCGGAATTCTATTCGCATCGGCTCGCGGCCGATACCAGGCCAAATGTCGGATGGCAAATAGTCCCCTTGCTCGACTCGGAACGTTTCGCGAGCATTAACATCCTCTTCGTACAGCTGATCCAATTTGTGTTTCGTTTCTCGAAGAACCTTTTCCACACGCTGTCGTACATGCCGTCGGCGTGCCACTTCCAGAATCAAGCCATCATAGGCTTCTAAAAACCCGTCGTAAAGGGTGTTGAGGTCGGACAGGTCTGCTAGCCCACCGTTGATACGATCATGCTCTTCGCCCCATACACGGGTGAAGCTGTGTGCCTGAGCAATATAACCCGGTAGGCGGGCAGTTGCAAGAGACGACAAGTGTCGGAAGACGCCAGTAGTAGCACTGTAGATGGAGAGAAGAACGTCACGTTGAGACAAGACGTTCTCAAGTATTGATTCCATGTCGCCAATGCGATCTTGAATTTCCATGACCACGTCTTCGGCCTCTGCTGCATCCTTGATCAAGACATTCACCATCTCCTGGTAGTCAGACTCGCTTAGGGGATCAAGTGGGGCGTTCAAATTGTCATGAATGCCTTGCTCGATATTCGGTACTCCACGGCCACTGACGGTGACGGCAGCGGGCATATCCCCGGTAATGGATCGCGCGGCAGCTCCGCCGCCTTCCGTATGTTTTACAGCAGTTACACAAAGATCGAAATGCTGAACTAAGGACTCTAGCAGATTGGCCATTTCCTGTGCATGCATCTCTAATGATTGTAACATGGGTGGCATTGATGACAATGACGGCAGGCTCGAATTAGACGCGGATGACGATGACGAGGACGAGGAAGCTAACTTGGTAGCTTCTCGGTAATTACCCAGAGCTTGCTTGATGGATTGGAGTTCATCATCGAATGCGGAGTTGGAAGTATCCAGTTCCGCCTGCGCCTCATTGGTGCGATCAATTGAGCTCTTCAAAGCCGCACGAAGCTCCTCAACCCCACGTTCATCCACAAAGTCATGTAAGCTTCTGGGTTCTTCGCCGTCAGGACGAAATGAAGAGTGAACAATTGTATCCCGTAAGGAGTCGAGCGTCTTTCTCAATCGGGCATCAGCCGTGTCCAGGCTTTTCAAGACACTAGCGAACTCCGACCGGCCCCGGAGGGAGACTTCTTCGACTTCAGAGCGGACACTGTATAGAAGCCGCAGTTGATTGTTAAGCCCGCGTCGGAGAAAGCCAGTCCGTGCGGAAATCACGACACTCTCTTCCAGTGCAGAGCGAGCGGAAGTTACGATTTCATTGGCACGCCACACGTGATTGATGGATGACAGGGACCGTTTTGCTGCCACCAGGTGGGAAATGAGAGAATCCAACTGAGGCAATGCATTGCCCTGGTCTCCAGCTGGCGAATAGGGGCCAGACGCATCGCTGCCGGCCGATAATGACCTTGATGCTGACATTTTGGAAAAGGGGTCGGCGTAATTGGCGCTGATTGGAGATTATAGCGAAAGGAGGAATGCTGGCGTGATAGCCTGACAGAATGGCTCAATAATGCCCGATAAAACAGCAGAGTGTAGTGGTTCAGGGCAGAGCCGTTCAACGGCCGGAAGGAGTAAGTTTCGGAGCAACGTTACAGTAGCTATGTCGTAAGAAGTCATAAATCTAGTGCACAATCACCTCATGATGCTGTAACAATAATGGAATCAGAAATTTTTCGAGTCCTTGATTTCGTCAGTTCTCAGTTTCAAGTGCGATCGACGAGGCCCTGCTGGAAGAAGAAGGATCTGGCGGTGAGTTTGCAGATGACTGGTCAACAAGACCTAGTAAGGTAACACCTGTGTAAGTCTCCGTCGACCGTGCTTCCTGTCGTACCGCCTGCAGTAGCAAACAAGGAAGCCTGCAGAAGAAGCAGGATGGAAGGCAAGAGGGGGGGTTATCGTGCCCAGGACTGGTCTGAGGAGCTGGTGGTTGATACCCAACGCTTCGTCAGTGGGAAATGTGATATTGTACGAGCTATGGGAGTAGTGCCAATCCAGATAATCGACGCTAGAATAGGACCCAGAATACCTGAGCGGAGCAATCGCGCCTCGCAGCAGGGGTCAGAAAGACCAGAGGCCTGGAAATGCGGGATTGGAGAGGGAGGTGACGATAGAGGACGGGATGGATGGAGTTCAGGCAGGCGACCTTAGCGTCTCGGAGAGCCCATGGGAGTTCGGCTCGAGGACCAGCTCGACTGCAGCTTCCTCACTAGCAGACTAGCTAGTTAGCCGATCGTCTGGAGGATCTGAGTCAAAGTCGGGATCCGCAATTGACCCCGGCGATGGCGACAGCGGCCAGATAGCACTAGTTCGGGGGGGGGGGGGGGGGGGGGGGGATGATCGCTGGAGAGAAGCACCAGCAGCGGTACTGCTTAGTAGCGCTTAGTGAAAGACGAGAGATGTTGCGACGGGAGGCGGCGATGGCGCCATCGCTCGCACGTGATTGGACCCAATCGAGACTGGCAGCACGAGTCCATCATCGGCCTTTGCGTGATCACGTCTTTTCTCCTTCGTTGTTCTTCTGGAATTCTTCTGTTTGACATTTAAGTATATTTATACTCCTTCCCCAGAATTGTCTGGTCACTTTTCTTGAGATTGGCTGGTCCAGATCAAGCTCCTATCGTTTCTTGTTATCGGTCTATCTACCTACCCTGTACTAACAGCCTTCAATCGCCCTGCACCACTTGCGACCGTCTCCCGCCTCCCGTCCACCCTTCTCCGTCCTCCGCCCCGGTCATTGGCAACTTACTCGACTTTACTCAAACACCCCTCTCTCCTCAGGGTCCTCACCAGTCCCTTATCTTGTCACCACCTTCTTTCTCTTTATTTCTGCGCTAGAACCCGTCGCAGAAATTAGTATATCTTGAAGCCATACAGCCTGGTGCTATCCACCACTGCGTTTCTAGCTCGCTGGTTACAGTAGCCGAGGCCACGCTAGCGGGCGAGTAGCGGCGCTGCGGTTCCAGTGGCACAACTTCGGACTGCCGTCGCGTGGGAGAATTTACCACAGTTCTTCAATCGTCAAGATGGAAAGCACACGGTCTCAGGAGGAGAAAGCCATATCCTCACCCCCGGCCTTCACGTCGATCTTCGGTGGTCACACCGAGTCCGCGGAGGAGATCGATGCTGATGCCGACAATAGCCAGCTGAAGCCCCACAATCGCAACAACGTAACAGCAACTTCGGCCAAGCTCGTGGGCAAAAGTGTCGCCCCTTTCCTCGCAAAGCACGTTCCCGACCAATACGCCCCCCTCGGATCGCAAAACAGAGAACCTGCCGCTTTGAGCAGCGCAAACTCCCGCTATTGCTATCGACATCGCCCAGACCGTAAGTGTCGCCGGCAGGCCGACGAACCGACCATGGACAAATTGCAACGGGTATGTCCTCTACCCTTTTCGTCCGAAGGACATCGCAAAAAATGTTTGCATTCATGATCGTGGACTAACGGGGGCCTAGGAATTGGAGTCGCTCCCTCAAAGTGACCAGCAGGGCATTGCGCATGTCTGGTCGCTCTTCTCAGCCGCCCCAGCCAAGCACCGAAAACTCATACTCCAGGGAATCATGGCTCAATGCTGCTTCCCTCAACTCTCGTTCATTTCCACCACCGTCCGTGATCTCATCCGAATCGACTTCATTGCCGCCCTTCCTCCGGAGATCTCTTTCAAAATTCTGTGCTACCTGGACACCACTTCTCTGTGTAAAGCCGCACAGGTGTCGCGACGTTGGAGGGCGCTGGCCGACGACGATGTGGTCTGGCATCGCATGTGCGAGCAACATATTCATCGCAAGTGCAAGAAATGTGGCTGGGGACTTCCTCTTCTGGATCGGAAGAGGCTCCGTGAATCGAAGCGCGAGATTGAGCTTCGCGCCACGACCTGGGACGTCAACAGCCCGTCTCCGAAAGAGACTCCTGCGCTCCTTGAGGGCTCTTCGCCTGTCGCCGACAGCAGCATTGGTACTAGTACAGGGAAACGAAAGCCTGAGCCAAGCGAGGAAGAGACTACCGTCGTCAAACGCCATTGCCAGTCGCTAGCGATGCGCCCAGAAGGAAGCGAAGATTATTTCAAAACCCGGTACAGACCTTGGAAGGAAGTCTACAAGGATCGTTTTAAGGTGGGCACGAATTGGAAGTACGGACGCTGTTCGATCAGAATCTTCAAGGGCCACACAAATGGCGTGATGTGCTTGCAATTCGAGGACAACATCCTGGCAACCGGATCTTACGATGCGACGATCAAGATCTGGGATACCGAAACGGGCCAGGAAATTCGCACGCTTCGGGGACACGAGTCGGGTATCCGATGCCTGCAGTTTGATGACACGAAGTTGATCAGCGGTAGTATGGATGGCAGCGTCAAAGTCTGGAACTGGCGCACTGGCGACTGCATTTCCACTTATACTGGTCATCGTGGCGGAGTAATCGGGCTGCACTTTGACGCTACTATCCTCGCATCCGCCTCTGTTGATAAGACTGTAAAGATCTGGAATTTTGAGGACAAGTCAACTTGCCTCTTACGCGGACACACGGACTGGGTCAACGCGGTCCGGGTTGACACAGCCTCTCGCACGGTGTTCTCGGCGTCGGACGACTGCACGGTTCGGCTTTGGGATTTGGATACCAAGTCCTGCATCCGGACGTTCCATGGCCATGTGGGACAAGTTCAACAGGTGGTCCCTCTTCCCCGGGAGTTTGAATTTGAAGAGCATGATGTGGAATGTGAGAACGACAACCTTAGCACTGTCTCCGGTGACACCGAGCCGGCATCTCTTCAGGCCACCCTTGGCCTCGAGTCCAATGCAGTTATCTCGCAGAATTCACCATTTGGTCCTTCTTTCGAGTCTGGTCGGACAGCACCGCCGCGCTACATTGTTACTAGCGCTTTGGACTCGACAATCCGTTTGTGGGAGACCAGCACCGGCCGGTGCCTGCGTACGTTCTTCGGCCATTTGGAGGGTGTCTGGGCTTTGGCAGCGGACACACTGCGTATTGTTTCTGGGGCTGAGGACCGGATGATCAAGATCTGGGATCCGCGAACCGGAAAGTGCGAGCGCACGTTCACCGGCCACTCTGGGCCTGTCACCTGCATTGGTCTTGGTGACAGTCGGTTTGCTACTGGAAGCGAGGATTGCGAAGTGCGCATGTACAGCTTCCAGAGCTGATCTGGGCTTTTTTCTATAATTATGTTGTTTCTGCTGGCCTTCGGCGCTGGCTTACTTAACGTTCTTCTGACGATCAATACCCTTTAGTAGCGCAGTTTTTTTTTTTGATTGGATGGATCTGGCTGGCAGAGGGATGGTGCATTCTTTTAAGGACTTATCATGGGGTGTCGGGCGTTGTGACTTCATACTGTGTACTTTAGCTACAGAAAGATTAATTTATCGCGTCAGTCTACATAGTGCTTTAGAAGACACAATCGACTGTCATGCTGCATCGGTTCTCTATGCTATCGTGGTGAGGCAGCAGTTCCAGACGCCACTACGTAATCTATTCTTCAAAGGGGGCAGTCAAGAAATAGCGTTACGCCATAGTTATATGCCCTTTATCTTCAATTACTCAAAGTGAAGCATACAGTCATAAATATTTGGGCCGCCATCATCACCTAGGTTGCTACCATTCATCATAATCATCGTCATAACTTTCTGATCTTGCAGTTCTAGATACCACCTTCTTGGGTGTGAGCGGTAACGGAGACGGAGATCTGGAAAGTTGACGCTCGATCGCTCTGTTAGATATTCCCATGGGTATCAGGTTCCTCGAAGACAGAGTGACAAGTCTAGACGGATTCTCTTTGAACACCGGCAGCTCCTTCATTCTCCTGTTGCTTTTCATCGGGTTTGTTAGCATTATCTTGAATATAGGAATCAGTGACCGGTCCTCAACCATGTATTTCAGCCAATTCATTACAGTGGCCAGCTCTGCAAAAGTCTTGTTTTTGTCGAACCAAGAAATGGAGTCGATGATGCAGTACACTCTCGTGTCTGCTGGGAATTGAGACACGAGCGAGTAGAGTGTTTTGCAGAGTTTGTTCAAGTCGTGCTCCTCGAGGTCACTCAGGTAGTCCCGATTGTTGATGAACTTCAAATCTAGGATATTCATCTTGACTAGTTTCATCAAGAGTTGCATGATGATCGAACGGACTAGACCGTTCGGCCCGTGCCAGGGATCCAGGGGAGCGGTGTGTAATCCACAGAAAAATTGGACCACCACCTCATCAGGATGGACTTCGATCATGCTAGAGACCAAAGTGGCGCAAAAGACTGATATGGCGGACACCTTTGACAGCCCGGACGAATTGATGTTCGCGTCGACGAGAATCAGGTCGGGGTGATGGTGGGTTACCCAGCGGTGTAACCGTTCATGTCGCAGCAACGATTGGACTTGGCCTTGAGTGGCTGCGTTGAACCTACTCTTGTGCACGAGGGCTCGTTTGAAGTGTTCGTTTGGGTGCTGGAACATGCGCTCTATGTCGACTGGCTCGTCTCCGGTAGAGCTAGGTTGGGCTAAAATCTCGCAGAAACGATTCGAGCTGACCACTGCGCCGCGTTTCCGGTTATGGTTTGAGTCGTTCTTTCAGCATAGCAATCTCAGCATCTTTCTCTGTGAGATTTCATGTCAGCTAAACAAGTGGCTCGGGTGATTGTTTCATCCAGGCCCATATTCTTTACTTACTTTTACGCTCGAGAAGTAGCGTTGAGACCGATACTGTCGCTGCCCCAGATTATCACTATCTCCCGGACGAGATGAACGATAGGTATAGTGAGTATGTAGATGGTCGCAATCAGTATTATGATGATGATGAGTATGAGGAGAGATATTAGGCTTGTGGAGCTCAATTCCATTGCTTCTGCCGCGATGACGAACACATCTTACACTAACAGTGACTATATGAGGAGCTTACATAGACTATTGCGTTCAAATATATGATGATCCAGTGTGGTGTACTACTACCTTCTGTTGAAAGCCTCGAAATTTACTGTGCTTTTTCAAATCTCTACGTATCTATAAATAGGCTAGATTTAATCTAAGTCCTTATCAGATATCCTTATAGTATTACGCTGCAATGCATGAAACTCGTCAACCTTTACAAATGCTACGGATTAAGGTGCAATGGTCATCTCTAGGCCTTTACATTTCATTTATTTCTTCGAGCTGGATCCTGCTCGCTCGGACAATGGTCCCCGGTTTCCTAGTACTCTATAATATTTTCAATCAACTGAGCTACGTCCTAAATAAGCTAGCTTAGAATTCTTCTAATCCTTCATAGCATAGGACGCGGATCTGTACTACTGACCATACATGGGATGTTCGTTCCCGTATCCTCCTGCAATGTAAACTAGTCACCGTGAAATCACGTATAGCATCACCCAGCCGTGATTCCCCTCCAGAATCGCAAAAGACGTCAAAATCACGACTATCATGTCTTAATATTTCCTATTCCAGCCAACTCAGTCACAATGAGCTATACAGAAATTCTGTCAACTATAACACTGCTTTGCTCCAAAACTTCTCCTTCCACAACCACATCGTCTACTACTGTTCCACATTCAACTCGACTTTACTACAACAACTTTACAACACCCCCTCTCTCTAATATTCATTCTTGGTCGAACCTTAACTTCAACTTCGGCCTTTATCATTCCAAATAACCAACTACTCAACCTTACATTCCTACTAATCGTCTCCTACCAACCACCATGCCTTCCTTCTCATCTACCTTCTCCTCTATCTTCAAGTCCTCCAAGAAGAGAAATTCTACCAACAAGAACCCTTCCGATATTGCGGAGATGTCATCTACATCTAAGTCTTCTGAGAAGAAGATCACCACTACTGCTGCCAGTAATGGAAAGCATATCAGCAACGTGAATAATAATACCAACAAGAGCGACAATAAGATCGCCAAAGACAGCTACAACAACATGACCAACAACAGTGTCGACAAGGCTATCAAGAGCCCTAATAACAATTACTACAATAATAATCTCACCGCCGCCACTACTACCAACGCCACCAACAATAGGAAAAATATCGGCAACGACTACAATAAAACTGATAACAACATCGCCACCAACGATACCGAGCCAGTCGACCTCGGCATACCTCGTAGAGGCCAATACATCACCCGCGACGGCATAGACGTCGTGGCGGTCCTCGAGACTTGGTAAGTTCAGTTGACTCTTCTTGTAAGACAGCTAGCTAACATGCAACAGGCATCAAATCTACACCGGATGGCAAATCATCTCTGCTGAGCTAGAGAGAAAGGAGAAGATGCGCCAACGTCGCCGCTTATGTGAGTATATAAGTCAACACATAGTAGCAGTGTAGTAAGCTAACTGTTGTGCAGGAACGGCTTTACCCGACAACACAAACAGCAGTCAAAGAGTTAGTCAATTCTCGGAGATGGATGGAACCTTCCAAGGGATTGATCGGATTTTCTATGTATTGGAATGCTATTTATCTAGTGTAGTAGGGATTTCTGTAGGTTTTCGTCCCCATGAGGGTTTTCCTACAGGCTTATATACCCATCCCGAAGGCAGTATGGTATGTGGTATAAAAGATAGAATTATGATCCTGAATTTGAATATATGATCTACCGCCTGTACTTTTCTTCATTTACCAGTAATTCGAAGTGTACCTCTGTATGGGTTGGGTTGCGTTTGTATTCCTCAATAGAATCTTCATCGATTGAGTCTCCAACCAGTATTTTAGTGCTTGTAGGTCATGCGTAGAAGGAGAAAAAAAGCATCAAGGATACATTTATAATCCTACTATTTCTCTGTTGCAAGTGAAAGCTTTCTGTTCTAAATAAGAAACTTAACCATACAGCTTTGCCATCATTTGTCCTGCAGCTAACAGATCATTATGAGGGAGAGAGTAACCCAGAGTTGTAATATATTCAAACCTCTATAATATAACCATCTGGATTGCAAGAACCTGAGATAAGGCGCTTCTATATCTATAGTGACCAACCCGCAGCGCCAAATGTCATAGTCGTCTACATCACAAAAGCGACACATCTGACTCACCAGGAACAGCTTCACCCTGTCATGACATACTATGGCATCATCACAACGGGATTCTCTATGCCTCATCACGAACCTACATTCCTTTCCTCTCTTTTCCTTTCCTTTACCATCATACTCTCACAACCACATCTAACTCTCAATATACTAAACAACCGCCTCGAACTCACCTTATACTCCCACCAAAATGAAGTATACAGACGGCCAAGTCACCCAGTACTCGTCCAAGATCATCGATCTAGAAGCCAACAACCATAACCCATCCACCGAAAACATCCCTTGGTCGACGTATTCTATTGCACCGACTCAGCCTTGTGACACCCCTTGGCCGGGGACCACTCAGGGCCAGACAACGGCTCAGGAGCAAACAAACGCATTGGAACAGAGACCTACCCAATCATTTGGTAAGAAGCCCTCTTGATCTTGAGTTATGCAAAAAGATCATGCTAACAAGCATCTCAGCAGCCGCGGAGTGCTGTTGGGACTGTGGCAAGCTCTTCATGTACATCATCGGTTTCGCGTCAGTAGGGTTTATACTTTTTGGGGTTTTATATTGGGCCTTTTAGTGAGTATATACTCTTTTTGTGTGACTAACCGATGAAGTAGAATTTTTTGCTGATGGTGTGATAGTGTGCCTATCTTTGGTACGATATAGCCAAGACGATGCTTAGGGGTGACTTTGTGGATGAGTGATGATTGGGATGGAACAGACTGAGTGCTTGAGTTGCTTGAGGGAGATGGATGACTTGCTGATATGTGTTTGTGATGCTGTTGATTCAGCGAATTTGTCAGTTTGGATTAGCGTGGGATTTGAGTGATTTGCTCTTGGAAGAGTCTTTGCTATATGTTGGTCAGATGTCACTACGAAGTTGATTGTGAGCTGTTAGGAGTATCTGCGAGGGAGATGTGAGTCTACTTGAATGATACCCAGGTTACTTTAAGTTGAATTTAGAGAAAGTATACTATTGAAGTATAACCACCAGTAAGCAGCGTGTCCCTAACAGTAGGGTTCAATACAACCTCACTCCATATTCACATCTCAGCATCCACACCCACAACCTATACCCCCTACCACCAAGCCCAGTATCCTCACCTCACTCCCTCCCCAGCCCTACCACCATACCCTATATACCCTTCCTCCCCTCCCACTTCCCACACCTACAACCCACCACCACTACCAAACACAACGCTACCACAATGTCTCCCACAACTCCGCCAACACCTCCAACCCTGCACCACCTCCTCACCCGCCTCGCCCTCGCAAAGCGCCTCTTCCTCAAACCGAAATCCAAACGGCGACGCACACAACAACCCACCACCACCACCAAGAAGAAGAAGCCCACTGCTACTCCTCCCACACGCGAATACTCTTTCCGGAAACGCCCTCCATCAGTCACCACCCCAACTACCATCCTCACCTCTTGGCGCGACGAAGACGACAGCACCGACGACGACGACTACGACCCGCGAATCGAGCGAGCGTACTTGAAACGCAAAAAGCCAGTGAAGCGCGCAAAAACAGAGAACGGGAACTTGAGTCTCATCGTGAAGATCAAGATCAACATGGAGAGTGAGGCCGGGAAGGCTTTTCTGGATACGTTGGGGATGTATCAGGATGATGATAACGATCCGTTAATCAGTGACGAGGGACTTGGAGTTATGGATGATGGAGATGTAATTGGGGGAATGCCATTACCATCGTCAGCGTGCAAGCCGTGCATCGAGACGGGGAGACTATGTTCCATAACCAGCACACCTTCCCTGAATGGCCAAGGACCAGACACAGGGATAACAAAGTACCCATGCGAACAATGCATCCAGGCCACTATTACCTGTGAACCCAAGTCCACCACCACCACCACCACCACCACCACCACCACCACCCTACCCACCGACTACACAACAACCACCCCCATAATCCAAACCATAACAACAATAACCACCTCCCTCACCCACCCCATAACCCTAACCCCAACATCCCAAACTTGCTCCTTCTGTTCCTCCCTCCCCTACAGCCTCTTCGGCCAGTACCAACCCCCACGAACAATCTCCGTCTTACCAATCCTGCCCCGGGGGAACAAATTAGGAGATTACATGGAACTCCACCCGCAACCATTTACTACTACTACTACTACTACTACTAATTCTATAACACGCATATGCGTAACCTGTGCATTGGAACGATTGCGGATAATGCTCTGCGGTACACACCCACCCACCCACACATCAACATTATCATTATCATCATCACCACCACCAGCACCATCCACAGAATCTTCTCCTTCTACATCTGGATCAAAATCAACTTCCTCATCTAAATCCATCTCAGCACCAACGCCCCACAAAATCCTCCCACTAAAGGGTTACGACCTTAATACATTCGACTTCGAGGCCGCGTATACGTATCTCGCTTCCTCATCATCTCTATCTTCAGCAAGTTCACTACAAACTACTACTAACCCGTGGTGTTCTCTGTGTCCGCATCCTGCGTTTTATGGATGTGCGAGGTTGCAGAGTAGGGATGTATATCTGGAGGAAATTACTGAGCCTCAGGCGATGGGCGTCGGATGTGGGTTGTTGCTTTGTGAGCGGTGTGAGGTGTTGATGCGGATGTATCAGGGGAAGGTGGAGGAGGTGGTGAGGAGAAATGAGGAGGATGCGGTGAAGAATTATAGTAGTACTACTGGTGGGGGTGGGGGTGGTTTTGGAGGGAGTAGAGCGGATGTGGGGTTTTTGTTAAAGGGGGAGTGGCTTTGGAGAGTGTTTATGGGGGAGGGGGATTGTCTTCTTCGATCTTTTGGTGGTTCTTAGGGGATAGATAGTAATTGATGGATGCATTCGATCAAAGGTCATTTGAATTAACTTGATTAAGCCAATATCCGTAGATTAAAAGAGTTTCAGTTCGCCACGCCTCGCTAATACATAGAAAATTCCAACGCCGTCAGCTGCAGATACAGTCTTACTGCAGTCGTAACAATGAACTTCGAGAAATTGCATCGAGTCAAGACACCTGCATCGACTCCTGTCCCTCCAGCGGCTTCCGTCGGGGAATTTGCACCCCGTTTCGCAGCTGCTCCAATTTGATCACTCCCGGTCCTGTGCAGATCCGTCCGGTCTGCATCAGATTGCGCAGGCGTTTGCGCCGCGCCTCGCCACTGCGCTCCTCACCACGCCCAACCCCTTCGTCTACCCACTCGACTCGCTGCACCTTGAAGCTCATGCCGTCATGCGAGCCCTCCCAGGCTCGCGACTTCAATCCGAACAACACACTGGAGTCGTATCGCTCCAGCCGGGGGAGAATCAGCAGCGTAATATGCAGATCTTTGTCGTTTGGTGGCACTGGCGGCACCCGGGGTCGCTCGCCATCTTCCGCTCCAACATCTTGCGCCGTTTTAGGTGCATGCTGATACGTGTCCCTAATTTCCAGGTCCAGTAGATCTACATCCACATCCTCACCCCAAGCACCGCGGATGAAGCCAGAGTGGATTGCCGCCGCAACAGGATCCGAGTCGTCCGTATACACGCCCGTGCCCCAGAGGGCGCGTCGCGCGCAGATCTCCTCGCGATGGCTGGTGTCAATGCGGAAACGCGGCACGCGGATTGTAAACGTGCAGTTCTCCTTGCCTTCAAAGCGAGGCAACGGAAGCGGTGTAGTCGTGTAACCGAACTTGGCACTTTCCAAGGTTGCCTTCTCGGTGGGTGCGCCGATCCGGGGCGCATACAAGGTCGAGCCTAGGTGGTGTCGAGGCAGATGGGCGACGCTCGACAGGAGTGGTTCGATAGTAACCACCGTGCGAGGCTCGCGCATAGGTGTGACAGCTGTATTCCCGGCCGGTCGGGGAGCATGATGGTGGTGATGATGGTGATGGTGATGGTGATGTCCAAGGGCCTGCGCTGCGGCGGATGCGCTGCCTTCCCCGGGGGTGGCCGTTCGATGGAAGAAATTTGCCGAAGACAGGGGACGGCTAGAGCCAAGAGCGGCAGCAGCAGCAGCAGCGGCAGCTTCTTCTTCTGGCTTATGGCGATGATGATGATGGCTGTGCACATTAGCATGGGTACTACAAACCTGAAGAATAGGGAATAACGTACTGATGATGGTGGTGATGGAGATGCCTGCTCCGTCGACCGCGGGCACCCAGGGCGGCCGCCTCGCTCTCGGCGCGACCATCCTCGTCGCGCGACTTCCTCGATCGCTTCCCATTCGCTGAGCTGGGCCGAGCAATCTTGGGATCATCTGTCTCCCCATTGCTGGACCGACCAGCCGCACTGTCGCGTTTGAACGGGCTCGGAGCCATGGGAGTCGAAGGACCACTGCCACCAGTGGTAGCAGTGACCCCTCCCACACCACTTCCAATCCCGGAGAAAACTCGGCCAAGCTCATTCTTAATTCCGGCCTCACCCGCGGGACCCAGGATCTGAGCCTGGGCACCCTGCACCGCCTGGGGCAGCGGCGATGCGCGTCCCCCTCGCTTCGCGTCTAATCCAACCCCGAGAAGGTTACGATGCGCCATGAGTTCATCACTTCCTTTGCGTCGCTGGTCATCCGACGACGCGGAGTGAACGACCGAGGGTGGACCCGCGGACGAGGTGGGCGGAAAGGCGCGAGTCTCGGTCTGCAGCTTGCTGAGGTACGGTGGCTGATCGTGTGACGGAGGGGGCGGCTGATTAGGAGGGGGATGGACGGAAAGCGAGGGCTGTCGCGACCCTCCGAGCTGGGAGCCCAAAGACTTGGTGTAGCTCTGAATAGCGCCAAAGCCAAAACCGGTGCCCGCCTCCGGGACGGAAAACCGTTTCGTCTCAGGCGACGGGGGCTGGGACCGGCCCAAGTCCCAGGCAGACGCGCCTTGTTGGCGATGCGCTGCAGCCTCCCGGTCCCCGTAAGGCGGCCCGTACCGCGATGGAGGGTGAGACGCGGCCTTGGTTTCAGCCTCGTGCGCCATCGCACGTTCTCGGTCACGATGGGCCTGTTCCTCCGCGTGTCGATCCGCATACAGGCCTCCGTAGCGGTGATGCTGGGCCTCATGGCCCATATATGATGCCGCTCGCTGATGCGTACCGGCAAATGGACCCTCTCCGGGCCCGGCCACGGCGGCAGGCCGTGATAGCGGACTATATCCAGTGGTGCGAGGCGGCGGTTCGAGGTGCTGCGGCTGGCTGTTGGGACGAGGAGCGGGTCCGCTGAAACTTAAGCGGCGTGGTTCGTTATACGGGGCTTCGGCGGATGATATTTGGGGCGAGGGATGGGTGGAGCTGGGCTTGTCGGGATACTGTGACGATGGCGGGCCGCGGGACAGACCACCGAATTTAGCCTGTTCTGTCATGGGCTGGGGAACACCGCCGGAGCCGGATCGGTATGGACGTGATGGCTGGTTCTTCGCAAAGGTCTTTTCGGGGGTCTGGGAGCGTCGGAAACCTGGGTATTCGAGCGGAGACGGACGCGCTGGCGCGGTCGGCGGGGACATGGCACCGGGGGCCGACGGTGGGTGGGCGTTCCCATACGGGGCGGACGAGACTGGAAGACGCGAAAAGATGGACGAAGAGCCTACATCCCGGCCTGGTCGGTCAGCGTCCGAGCCTAGCATGGACGATATCGACATGCTGCTCCCTGGACGGTGATGAGCCGGGTTGCTGGGAGGCTCACGCGACAAGAAGGGAGTGGACAGGGACGGAGCATTTCCCGTTTGGCCTCTGGAGGGATAGTGTTGGGGTGGTGAGGGAGGAGGCATACGTCGCGGCCCTAATGGCGGCGCAGCGGACTGCTCTTGGACACCTATGATAAGAGAAAAGTCGGAGTTAGCCAATATGTCCGAGATCAGCATAAACAACAGATACACTGCAAGAGAGAACAAGTGTGGTTGCAACAAGCAAGATAGCAAGGACATCAGGGGATTATTGCGCGAGTCCAACGACCTGCGACTCACCAGGGAACGCGGGACTGCCACTGCTGCCCAAGGACCTCCGGCGACCCTGGTCATGCGACGGGGGAGGATTCATGTCGCATGCAAAGGGGGAGAAGGGAGCTATAAGGGAACGCGACAATCAGGAAAGGGACAGATGAGAGTTCAACCGGGAGGAGATTAGGAACAGGAAAGGTAAGTAAGCGGCAGGGAGGAAAGAGAGGGCCCGAGGGGGCGAAAAGAGAGGGAAGGGGAGATGGGAGTGAAGGAGGGAGGAAGATGACGATGGCAGCAGCTGATGGGCGGCGAAGGAAGAAAGAATGGCGCGCGACAAGCAAAGCGAGTTCCGAACTGGGGCAGAACCCGTGACTCTGGGCCTGGACGAGCGTATGTCCGACACTAGTCCCACTTGGGAAGCGATGCCCTGGCATCCCGAACTAGCCCGGATCGGGTATAGCGCTCCCGAGGCTTCCTGGGCCGGAAGTCGATCAGGCGCCACAGACGCGCCGACTGCACCGCCCCTGATTGGCTCGCACTGCCGGGCACAAAGTTTGGGTTCCTTGTCGGAATCTGGCAGTGACGCTGGGATTGTAGTACGGATAAACAAATGCTGCAGCCGCGCCACACTGCATCCTCGCAGATGGCTAGACTCCGATCAGAGGAGGTTTTTTTTCTTCTTCTTTGCATCCTCCCAGTTCGGACAGCTTCTGCTCCTTCTCGCATCTTACTTGCTTCTAGTCATGCCCCCAGAGGTCCAGTCATCGCGACGCGATCATGGTCTGACACTCCCACATACCGGGCTCGTAGTCACATCCCAATGTGGATAGAAAATAGGAAAACAAAGACCCAAAGAGAGGAGAAAACCGCACAATAGCAGAGGATTATTTGGAGGTTATCAGGCAATTTAATATAAGTGGAAGCGATATCATATCCAAAGAAACTGCAAGTTGCCTACCTTCACGATATACCACCCGACGTTCAGGCTTGTTGATGTGACTGACTGGGTAATGAGGGTCTGGACGATGTTCAGGCTCTCGATTACCCCCGGGAAGACTCTGCTCCTTCAGCGAGACGTGGCTCGCTGCTGATGTGTGATAGCCATTGCTCTCTGTCCGATATGCCGCATAGGCGTTCTCATGGGCGTATGAGACGGGGGGCACGGAGGTAGGGACCGAGGAGGGCGGGTAACTGTAGGTAGGGGTGATACCAGATCGAGGCATCTCGGGCTCACGGCGATGGAAGTGGTCATAAAACATGCGTGGTGAGGAAGGGTGTGATGGTGGTGGAGGCCCGTAGGCGCGAGCTGGCGGCGCGGGGGGCGCAGCACGAGGGTCGTGGGCGACGACGCCCAACATGGACGGGTGCGTATGGTATGGATGATGAGGATGGTGTTTCTGAAAATCCATCATCATCTTCAGGGGAGGGGTGGATTGGGACGAATGGGGATTGCTGGCAGCATGAAGGTTTTGATTGATTGACTGGGGGTGAAGGAAAGAATTGGGTTGGGGTTCGGGCGCGGATAGTTGTCAGTCAGTCAGTTAGTTAAGGTAAGGTCGCGAAATGGCGGTAAAAGTTGAGTTTAATCGACCCCGAACGGGAGGGTGGGGAAGGAAGAAGAAAAACAGAACACGGAGATCTTCAGTCGGATCTGGTAGCCGTTTCAATTCAACCGGTGATAAGGGGAGAGAGGAATGGAACTAGAAGCAGCTCCGAAAGCTCTGTGGATGGAGGGAGGAGAGAAAGGATGGAAGCACGCAGCGAAAAGCAGGAGAAGGGGGAGGGGAGAGAAAGAGGAAAAGACGAGTGGAGAGAGAGGAAGAGAGAGCGAGAGAGCGAGGGAACGGGAAAGGAAGAGAATTAGGGAAAAACGGTGAGCGACGGAGCCAGGGAAACGGCGCAAGAGTTCCCTGTGAGGACACATCGGAGGGCTTTCAGGCCAATCAAGCGCATGCAAAAGAGCTGCTAGTCGGATCGATTTCAATCAGACGAAGCAGGAAGCAGAAAAGGACGAGCTCTCGACTTGAGTGTGTCGGAGAGGCTGCAAATCCAAGTTGGCCCGATGGGGCCGTCGTGGGAAAGCGGGGAAACCTGAGTGGATCCCTCCTTACAATTAATTCCTTTGGACTTCCAACATACTTCCCTATCTTAACAATTTCCTCCATATTTTTTCATCAGTGTTCTATACATCACGGTTACAACTTTTACGATGCCCAATCCTTCAACCTGGCCACTCTTCCACCAACCCCCCTCTCCACCCGATCGCTGCCCGTTGGCATCCATGCCATGCAGCCCGGCGACGTGTCATGCGTCCTTCCAGTGGATAATCTAGTAGGCGGGTGGGTAACAAAAAAAAACACTCACATTTAATTATTATTATTATTCTCCCCCCAGATGTGCAGAATTCCTCACGGACATTCAAGTATGAAGGCGACCTCCAGCATAACACAGACAATTCAAAAACAATTTTGAGATAAGGGAAAAGGGAACTAATCAAAAGTCTTACTATCCCTACAACAATGACTGGCTAGTGGTTTTCGTTCCCTCCGCCTCAACCCGGCTAGCGACACACAATATACCAAGTATAGTAGCACTATACTTGTACACCCGTGCAGCCCGAAAGGCATGCTGCTGCTGCTGCGACCTGCAGGATGGATTGGCACCCTGAAAGTATCAAGCATGGAGTACAGGCGCAGCAAGCAGCAGCAGCAGCCATGACTAATGACAGCAAGAAATGCCTCTTTTTTTTTCCCCACCCTGCAATGTCTGAACCTGCCGATCCTGACCGATGTGACCCTCCTTTCTTATTCCTCAGTCAGCACTATCAAGTAACTTATCTAGTTACTGTAGTTGATTTTTTTTGTCGATCGGATCCCATATATTGTTTTCGCATTTAGAGGGCTGTAGGTCGTGAAAAAAAAAAAAGAAATGTAGTACTAACGAGAACAAAGGAGGCCGGAGGGTTTCAACTCACCATACACTCGTATTAATCACAGAGTACTACGGGATACTTAAGATAAGGAAATCTATATGCAGAATGGGTAGCATAGTATACCATAAATGCTGCTAGTCCACACCCCTCGGACATGTCAGCGTACATTCTTCGGCTTAATAAATCATCCAGTTAATCTTGGCTCTGGATGATTGTAGTGCTTAGATACCTGCCAAGGCATGTATGTACTACAAGATCGATGGCATTCCCCACATTGCTGATGATTTAAAGTCAAGCTCCCCTTGCATACCCCTTCTTTCACTTCGTTCATGTGGTCGGTGTCATCGCCACTCCTTACCATACCAAGCAACAGACTAGCCTGGCACACTACTTGGTCTGGAGCATTTACTGACAGAACAAATCTAATGTGCAGTACTGGGTATCATTTGCATTTAAAGCACTAATCATTATCATAGAAGAACTTTAGCCTCACGGGACACCATCACTTGCCCCATGTCCTGGGGGGATGCAGCGGGTGGCTGGCGGCCGGAACGGTCCCCCGCGACCCGATGCTGAAGAATCGCCGCCAGCCCCGGCTAGCACACTCTGTCCAGTCTACCTCAATGAGATCGGCCCCCTCGTTCACCAAGATACGCCAGATAATGCGGCGCATCCCTTCCGAGTGGCACGGTATGCCTTCGTACCGAGCCAGCAACCCCTTTTGATGCGCGGTTTGCACTTGACTCTGGATCCTTTCGATCTGCTGTCGAGAGAATCGCCCGCGATAAGGCGATCCAATGGTCTCGGCAAAGTTGATGGAGGCACTGTACATGTCGAGCGCCTGGGTCAGAGATGGATCTTCGTCGGAGCGGGGAAAGGTCCTCGGTAAGTTCTGCTCAGAAAATTCCATTTCGTCTTCCGTCGAGGTCTGGACAGCAGCAGACTCTTCGACTTCTGTTACGACTGATTCATCCAAGAAGATACTCTTGCCAACGCTCTCATGGTCGATGGAAAGACCATCAAGGTCCACTTGCTCTTGACCTGTCAGAACAACAGTGATAGGCCCGGGGACAACCTGCGTCCCATTTCGGTGGGTAAGATACCCACGTTCGCTGAGAAGCGCCAGTTCAGATAAAAGACGAGGCCACACATTGTCTGCAGAGGACCGGATCTCCAAGTACAATTTGAATTGTAGTGAATCTTGTCCAAACAGTCCTGTCGCGACCATGGAGTCGTGGTCGGGCTGAGCTTCAGATAAGCTCATAGCATCAAAGTGGTCCAATAGTGGCTCCAGATACACCTTGCGCAGCGTGGACTCGTTCTTGAGGCTCGACCATGAAGAGCCTACAATGATGTCATCGTCCTGTAGCCAGATATCGGCCTTGACTCCAGTACAGCCCGCCGCAAGGGAATACTGGATGGAATTGGCATGAGCTCGTGGGTTATAGGATATACAAGCAGCTGGCTGGCCTTCAAACTCCGTAGGCCAATGAATAAATCCCGATTGAGCTTTGTACTGCTCGTGTAGGAAAAGATAGGAGACGCCGGATGGCAAGAGCGAGAGAAATTGAATCGCCACTCTAGAAGTGAGTTAGTAAGCCCTAATCGCATGCCAACCGACAACTAGTAGAAGACGTACAGGAACATCAAGAACAAACAGATCAGAGTAAGCGCGCGATCACTCCATCTCTTGGTCACTGCGGCATAGCATTTCCGAAGTACCCAAAGTACACCGGGGCAACATTCCGTAGGATGAGAGCGCAACGGATGGTCCTCCAGCAACACCCACGAATAAGCATCGTACTCGTCAGCACCGAGCAGGGGCTGGGTGCTACTCGCATCGCGGATGTTGACGTGGGTTGTGGCGGCCATTTGGCGGTCCCAAGTCGCCCACTCGACCTGCTGCATCTAGAAGGGGGTGGTGGAAGGCGATCGACGGGTAGATAGCAGAGAACCCCGGACAGGGTGGTCGATGCGGTGAGTGAGGAGCAGGAGGGACGAGGATGGTCGGATTTAAAAGGGGGCAAATCGTGATACGAAGGCAGGCCCAGACAGCAAGAGATCCATGGTCCTGTGCGACGTTGGGAGGGCAGAGTTAAGTAACATGCCGACGAGCACACGAGATGGAGAAAGTGGATGGGGATGGGGATGATGATGATGTATAGCTCCAGAGCACGCCATTGTCGGCGGCGATGGTTCGGATGTTAGGGAGAAGCACCTCATGGAGATCCCGTCTGCGGTGAAGGGCACACGTCGGTCATGCTCATCATCTTGACTTTCTGACTATTGCTCCGACTGCAGCTGATTGGCAACCTCACTGGCTGAACAATAGTCCTTGCATTCAATGCATCGATTGCTTTTGTTTTCCACGCTTCTTCCAGGGGCGTTGCTCACATGATTGTGGTTGAAGAAAATAGACATAGAAAGAAAGACAGCATTAAGTCTGCGCAGCCCCCGGAGCCTCGTTCCGAATATTCGCACCTCTCGTCTTGCGTGAGTTTAACTCAAGAAGAACCCCATTTATCTTGCGACTAGTGGCACTCCTACGGTAGCACCAGCTCCAATGGGCGGACGGACCATCCAATCATGATGATCCTATCCCCTCTCCCTCATGACGATCATCATCACCCATTGGTGCATCGGTGTGATGCAATCGGATGACTTATCGGGTGCTGCATGCCAATCCCGGCAATTGCAGGCCGGCTTCACTTCGTTCATTTGTATCTTCATCAACGCCCCTCTTTTATCGGATGCTTGCACTGTCAATGGAAACTCGATAACGAGACTAACAGCCGGTTCCTTTGCTGAAGCCGAACCCCGATCACATCCAGCAGCACCGGAAGCGGGCCAGGCACAGTAATGGACATACTTTTTCTTCCAGATCATTAAACTAAAGCCGCCGTCGCGTGTTAGCGTCGGAGCAATCACCCAGCATTGTTCAAGGGCATGATGCCACTAGCTGTTGAATAGAGGAAACGCGTCCCAGCTCCCGACCGGAAAGGGTGTGTGCCACAACGGTCGGTGGTTGCTAACAAGAAAGTCGGATAGTGACCACTTACTTAAGAAAATTCGGTCGCAAACAATAAGATGATAAGTTACAGTAGAATAACATTTTTCGCAGGGCCTCACGGCTCTGGTCAACAGAGACAAAAAGATAGTCGGCGATCGAGGTTCGATCAGCGTGTCTGGTGCCGACAACAATGAGTTGTTCACCTTTACCCCAACAGAACCGAGAGTTTGAATTATGAAGCGATCCTTTAACCGATAGATCATGATGTTCTCTTAATACGCACAAACCGGCCCCAGTAATCCGACCTGGATGATCTGCCTTTTGAGTCAAACTTTGGAGGTCTAAGCTTAGCAAAAGTCTCAACCGCAGCGCAACGACTTCCTCAACTGGCTCGCGAATCTATGAAGCCGCGTTCACATCAGGAACTTCTCAATGACCGTAAAGCGCTTCACAACACGCCACCGAGGCTGGATGAACGTAATCAGATGAGAGAAGATGGACTATCGCGCTCCAGACCTGATTTATCAATCATCTCCAATTATGCGGCGATACGGCGTGCACCTATTGCTCCATTTGGTCCATCGAAGTCGTCATGCTGCCTGTCAGTAACAGATATAGTAGACAATCTTGAGTTGGTACTTCGAATAAGGCAGTGGGCTCGAGCGTCACTCGATCTCACACATCTAATCAAGTCCATAACACTCTCCTTACAATGAACCGGCAAGGATGCATACTGCGGTTTCCCCTCTGATAGAAGATACAGCCGGGTCAGCTATTACCATGGTCTGGGCAGCTTATAATGTCTCAGTAGTCTCCCTGCAATTTACACACAACTTAGCTTTTTAAATGCTAGTGCGATTTGCAATTTCGTGCGGAGATTTCATGCGGTCAGTTGGCAAGTACGTACAGACCTGTTGAATCCGTGGATGTAGGAGCGAGTCTTCATCTAACGGCGACTTTGGATGAATCGGGACTTACATCACAAACCGCTCATTTCTTGGGGCTATTTAACCGACAACATAAGCTCTTGAGCGCCGTCTTAATTCTTACAGCGTGACACCAAGGGCTTCATCGCATCTCCGGTTTCATAATCAGCGTAGTATTGCCGGGAGTCTTTTGTTCCACATCTAGTCGGGAGAATGTATATTTGGGCCTTTTCCTGCAGCGTGTTCTTCTCCATAAAGACTTTTTTGAAACCGAAGTTGCGGTTCAAATAACTTCTGCCCTGGAACTGTCCTTGTTCCAAGTTCTTCGTTTGTAAGCATCAAGACAGTACGTATGTTCTAGTCCACGTCAACAAAGCAGCATGCCACAAGCTAGGTACTTCGCCAATAAGTGAATTGCCGATCTAGGACATTATTCTTCTGCATAAGAGACGATCGAGTCCGTACAGCTGTGAGCCAGTCGATGAATGCGATTGCTTTTTCCAAGACACGGGATCGTTTAGAAGTGTGCTTGCTTATCCACGGAAGACGTCAAAGTTGACGAAATGTCCATCATCTTCTGCGAGCTTCCGATTACTTACTCCCTACCAGTTGAATACTGTGATCTGGTGAGCTTGACTGAGCGGTCCATCCTTTTTCCCAAACCTCAAAGCATTAAAGTATACTTTGCAAGCAGGCTGACTCACTAAAGCATCCGTTCATAATATTGTTGCCGAGAAATTGCAGATTGATACGATACAATAAGAAAGCGGGGGGTTTGGTCAACTCGAGACTGACAGCTCCATGCCTTCAGGTGTCTTCTAAGGGGTAAAACAAATGAAAATATCACAAGGCCGTGGTTTGTCCCATTTGCAGCGTCATGTGAGCGTAGCAGACTTTCTTTCGCCATCGCTGCCCACTCCTACTCCTGCGGGTTTCAGACGCTCTCTAAATTTTCGATCTAATTCCCCTCCGTTTCTCAATATTACGATGCATTTACTTGCAGATTGGGTTCAATCTTATTGACAAAGATGGATTCAGATATGTTTTGTCTTGAGACAGCTCCTATGATGGCCTGCAGGTCTGAACAACAGTCGACGGGGCACAATTGGATTTTGCAGGCATCACGCGCATCGCCTGAAACTGTTGAATATCAGCCAATGACGCTGTCAATTGCTGCGTGCAGGCCACAATTTCACATTTTCAGAAGTACTATTCTTTGTGGCAGAGCTAGTGGATACCCGGATCGCTTCAATGCCTAAATGATGGAAACTTGCAGCCAGTGATGTCCAACTTTTACGGAGAAGACGACATTTCGGGAAAAGGTTCTGCGTTCATATGAGCATATTGGCCTGTCATCTAAGCTCAAGGTATGCTCCTGCAATATGTGACTGATGTTGGCCGAGTCCAGCCGGTTATAACTATGTTTCGGAGAATTGTTTGTATAGTGCGTTGGAGACCATTTTCGTTCCCATACTTCGTTAGCTCAGCTCGTGTACTACTGAAGCTTACTGTTGAGAGAGGTACGATAGGGTTCCACACACACTAGATCCTCGGTCGGTGATTGGTACGCTCGTGGGCCACGGGTTGTCTCGGTGGTCCGTGGGTATAACCCAAACCTAAGGGACTAACAACGAGAAGAATGGGATAAGCCTGAACCTTTCAGTGTCAGCGGGATGCCTTTACGAAGCCGATGCAAAGCGTGGTTGTGGCGTCATGACAATATGGAAGTGCAGGAAGCCTGCGTCGGTTAGTTAGTAACCCTGCATAACTATCCCCCAACCCGGTATCAGCACATCATCATTTGCCCTGATAATGGCCAGTCACTCGAGGTCGTCCTGAGTGAGCAGCTACCGGTACCCTCAAACCTACATCCTGGCGAGTGGATCGAGTCCAATTTCCTCATCATATGTCTTCGCTCCGTGATTCGCAGGCGCGTTCCGCGACTAAATTGTCTAGTCGATGTTAGTATCCAGTTTCCTGCAGATCCGATGCTTCCACCGACCACTTCAACTGCGGGCCAACGTTACCTCTCTCCAGACCCCGTCCGGCTCTCCGACGGCCTCCTCTTCGTCCCCTCTCAAATCAAGCGGAGACCTGCCTGAACAGGGAGAGTTTCTCAATGAGCCCACACGCAATCACCTCGCTTCTGCATGAGATGGGTCCATTGTTAGCAATGCTGCCTAATGTGCAAGGGACCTTTTTGCCTCGGGGGAACTACATAAATAGGGACCATGCATGCCCCAACGATGGATGAATTTTTCAGAATCCTCCGGTCAAGTGAGTCCTGTTCTCACACTGATCTCTCGGGAGAGTTATCAATATGCGGATTACATCGGCAATTGCTTCGTTGCTACTGGTTGGCACGGCCACCAGTCTCCAAAATCCTCATCGTCGGGCTGTTCCGCCTCCTCTCACACATCGCAACGTAGCGTCTCGCGCCGTGCCCGTTGAGCGCCGATCCAACGACTTTGAGTATCTGACAAACAAGACTGCAAGTGCGTCATACCGTTCCTAATCGCATATCTCAGTCTTACTAATTCAAATTGCAGGATTCCTCGTCAATGGCACAAGCATCCCGGAAGTCGATTTCGACGTCGGCGAATCCTACGCCGGTCTTCTCCCCAATACGCCGACTGGAAATTCCAGCCTTTTCTTCTGGTTCTTCCCCTCGCAGAATCCAGAGGCCAGCGATGAGGTTAGTGGTTTTCCCATCATCCTGTCCTGCCTTAGCCGGCTAACAATCGACAAAGATCACTATCTGGCTCAATGGCGGCCCGGCTGTAGCTCCCTAGACGGCCTGCTTCAAGAGAATGGCCCATTCCTCTGGCAGCCCGGCACTTACAAGCCCGTCCCCAATCCATACTCATGGACCAACCTCACCAACGTGGTCTACATTGACCAACCCGCCGGCACAGGCTTCTCCCCTGGCCCCTCGACAGTCAACAACGAGGAAGACGTGGCTGCCCAGTTCAACAGCTGGTTCAAGCACTTCGTCGACACCTTCGACCTGCACGGCCGCAAGGTCTACATCACCGGCGAAAGCTACGCGGGGATGTACGTCCCTTACATTGCCGACGCCATGCTGAACGAGGAGGATACAACCTACTTCAACTTGAAGGGTATCCAAATCAACGACCCGTCCATCAACAGCGACTCGGTGATGATGTACTGTACGTTCCCCCTCATATACCTCATAATCCACCACCTACACCATCACTAACCACATCACCCACTAGCCCCGGCCGTCCGCCATCTCAACCACTACAACAACATCTTCCGACTAAACTCCACCTTCCTCTCCTACATCAACGCCAAAGCCGACAAGTGCGGCTACAACGCCTTCCTCGACAAGGCCATCACCTACCCTCCTCCCACCCCCTTCCCCACGGCCCCCGAAATCACCGAAGACTGCCAAGTCTGGGACGAAGTCGTCATGGCCGCTTACGACGTCAACCCCTGCTTCAACTACTACCACCTGATCGACTTCTGCCCCTACCTCTGGGACGTGCTCGGCTTCCCCTCCCTCGGCTTTGGCCCAGACAACTACTTCAACCGCTCCGACGTGCAAAAGATCCTGCACGTCCCTCCGACCGACTACTCCGTGTGCTCGGAGACCGTCATCTTCGCAAACGGCGACGGCAGCGACCCCAGCTCCTGGGGTCCCCTACCCAGCGTCATCGAGCGCACTAACAACACCATCATCGGCCACGGCTGGCTCGATTACCTCCTCTTCATGAATGGCTCTCTCGCCACCATCCAGAACATGACCTGGAACGGTAAGCAAGGGTTCCAGCGTCCCCCCGTGGAACCGCTCTTCGTTCCTTACCACTACGGTCTGGCTGAGCTGTACTGGGGCGATGAGCCCGACCCGTATAACCTTGATGCCGGTGCCGGGTACCTGGGTACGGCGCATACCGAGCGTGGGTTGACTTTCAGCTCGGTGTATTTGTCCGGTCATGGTAAGTTCCTTCTATCCCTTTGGGAGAGGTTTGATGACTGTTGAAGAGTGCTGACTGTTTTTTCCCCTTCGTGATAGAAATCCCACAGTATGTTCCTGGTGCGGCTTACCGCCAGTTGGAGTTCTTGCTTGGTAGAATTGATAGTCTTTCTGCAAAGGGGAACTATACCTCTTAACTTCAGTTGATGGAGACTAAAAGATGACCAGGACGTGATTGGATGGTTTCAGGTGGGAATGCGTGCATATATGAGATGAGATGATGTATCAACGAGGGTCTGATGACTTGTACATAAGTAGATCGGTAGTAAAAAAGGAAATTATATGATAGGGTATGCGACATATCATGCATGTACAACGCGTGGGTCCACAGTTTTATCTCATCCCGCGTATAACCGGTATTAAACACACAGCCTCCTGTTCGTCAGATGATTACTAGTACTGCCTCTACCTATTCTCTACAGTTGCTGAGTCTGGAAACGTTTTACATGAGGTATATACTCTCGCTAAAATGCTCAAGTGTAGTAAGGTATCTATATAAGCTCACAAAAACAAATTTAATGCATACAAATCCTCCAAAAGCGGTCGCTAAGGCGTCCTAGCACCCTCGCCAATTCCCATCAACCCTCCAGCTATACCATTCATGCGCCGGTCAATCAGGTCTTCCTCGCTGGCAAGGCTATTGATACTTCGGTTCCTCTCCCGCAAAGGAACAGGACTCGGCGATCCAGAGATATACCCGTCTCGAGGAGGGATCGTTAACCTCATGGGTATGGGACGCTGTTTCTTGGTGATTCCTGGTCGCCGTGTTCGCCCTCGGGAGACGCTACGAATGCGTTCCTTTTTAGCATTTTCGCTGTCACTATCCTTGGCTGCGATAGCTTGATTATCAATATCGGTACTGTCGATGGGGGCGCTGGAGCTGCGATGCAGTGGCGTCAGTGGCGTCAACTTCTTGATGCCTATCTCGAGAGGCCTATCCTCGTCGCCGGATGACTCTCCGGTGAGATGGCGTCTATGATTGCGCGAGTTATTGCCGCGAGGAACGGACTTGGGTCCCTTTGGTATTTGTGTACCATTGGCGAAGGCCTTCGTATGACCAGAGAATGATCTTTTAGCCTGAGCGAGATCGAATAGATCTTGGATCCAACTGGCACAACGGTAGATGTGCTTCCAGCTGTCAGGGAAGAAGCCCGCCATTTGCATGAACCCGTGAGAGATCCCGGGCAATAGGGAGACCTCGACGTGGTCTTTTGCGTTAAACCTGCGATAAGACTTTTCGAGGCCCAGTTCTTGGCGTTCCTGAAACTGGCGGAGCTTAGCTTGTCTTAATCGCCCGGCGAAGATGACCGTGTCGTCGACTAGAGGGTCACGTTCTCCGGTGATAATGTACGTCTTGGGAAAGCGTGCTAGAAGGTCTTCGGGAGCCAAGGCTGGAGAGAGTAGGTAGTCTGTATTGAAGTCGGGGCGATTGTGCGGTCCGATATATAGGATGATCATTGCCCTCATCATCTCAGGGGTTAATATACGATCGTTGACGTACGATATCATTGATGAGACGGCCAGCCGGGTTTGGATCTGCTTAGGCTGGTGCTCAGTGATAGCAGCCGCTTCATTTTCAGGAATGTCCATCTTCAGTTGCTGTGCCAACTTCACCGAGGTCGCGTCAACCAAATTTCCAACTTCCAAGTCTGCATCAGAGAAAGAGTCACGCTGGAAATCTCCGAACGACGTTCCCGGAGAAGTAAAAGGCGTCAACCGGTGATAGTCCATATCTTTCCTTCGGAGAACGCTCTCATTGGTTCGACGTGTGCTTTTCTCTTGGATCAACGCCATTTGCTCTTCCGTCATCCAGCTTTCTATCTTCATGTTCAGCGCGGGATAGGGTAGAACCAGCCCATCCGGGGGTGGAAGCATGTTTTGTCCTTGCCATCTAGAGGCATGTGTACTGCCGGATTGAAGGATCATAAGGGTGACGCCTGTGGCGAGATTACCACCAGCACTATCACCAGTGATGACAACACGAGGACGAGTCCGTCCGTTGAGGCCCAAGCACCGCCCACGGGTGGAGACAATGGAATGATATACATCATAGCACTCGTTTAAAGCATACGGATACGGGTACTCCGGTGCTTTCTTGTAGTCGAGACTCAGTACGGGAACTTTGGTTCTCGCCGCCCAGGCCAGAAGTCGGTCTTCGGAATGCCGAGGGCTCATCGAAACAAAGCCACCCCCAGGAATATCAAGGACAATGCATGTTTGATCACGTAGCGCAGTCAACGACCCATCGAAGTAAAGCCATGCATTTGTCGGCTCCTTGTAAATCGAGGACGCCGGTCGGGTGATACGGATGGCACGCGGAGGGTACCTCGTGAGCCGCGGGCGGCCCAATTTGGCGAGTGCCCAGAGATACGGTGTGGTGCTCTTATTCCAAGACACACGCATATGCTCTACTGTGAGTGTAGCACGTACCCGGCGAACTTTCTCATCTGCCTGTTCTGCTGCGATAAGGTAATAACCAGAGAAAACCAGAGACGCAATATCTCGTAGCCACTTTGGCTTTATCCCCATTGCTGTCCAGAACCCAGCGTCTAATCCTGTCGCGATCCATGTTGCTCGGAAAAAGGAGCGCGAGTATAGGTTGGCTAAAGGCTCAGGGCACTCAAGGCCGACAATTTTCGCAAAATTGCGGCAAATGTAGAGCCAGAGGAAAACAAGGACAGTGGTTTGCCAGACGCTCAGCTTTTTCGAGAGGCGCGACGAGATCTTGCGGATAAAAGGAGGACCATTCTTGTTTCCTCTACGATTGATCCGTTAGCAAAACAGCGGCAAGAGACGAACAATCGAGACGCACCTTAATAGATAGGTAGACCAAAATACAAGTACAGCAAGAACCTGGATCTTCCGGAACTTTGTAGATGGCCGCCCAAGGACGTGATCTGGATGTATATATTAGCAGCAGACTATGACATCCCATGGGGTTCGCTGGGCAGTCAGTTACCTATCATTTTCCCAAGACAACCCCGGGTATGAATCAGGCAGCAGCGGTCTATAAGGGCTTTGAAAGACAATCTATGAAATATACAAGATGCGTAAAAGTATACGGAAGAGAAATAGTGGAAGATAATCAAATGGAAAAATTCATATTTTTACTGCGCACTGGAATGATGGGAGGGGCAGTAAGGAAAGGACAAAGAATGGACAAAAGCGGCGAACCACTGTAAAAAGAGGAACAGGTGAGCAACCAACAAGCAGAACACTAGCCTGTTTATGATCGAAAGATGTCAATAATGGCACAGTTCGATGACCCAAGTACGGGGTATGTGGGGGGGAAGACAGAGAGTAGTTAGTTGGTGTAGAGTGAGGGAAACCATGGTTCAGCTGAAGAAACGTAGTTGTTGCATGTGAAATCCCCACCAGGGGCTGCATGGTGATCCAGTCATCTGGGTAGCGGTAAGCAGGCCTTGAATAACTGGGATTAGTGTAGCAGAAGCCCAAAAGCCGGGATGGGCGTCGATCACTGATGGTCCTCCGCGGTGGCTAGCTGAATGGTGGATAGCAGGATAAGACGGAGTAGTAGTTTGTTGTAAGCGAAGGGAAAAGGCGGAAGATTGCCCGTGCCGGGTCACGGGAGAGCACGGTCACAAGCAAATCCCGCCACGAAACAAATCATGTGCCATTCCTCTTCAGGCATTTCCGGAATGCCTCTGCGGAAGCCAATGATGCATGAGGGAGTCACATCTATTTTATATATAATATATATTTGAAATATTATATATACGTGAAGATAGTATAGCATTTCTTTTCCCTTATCTTTCTAGACTCCTCTACTTCTCATAGTTTCCGGCAATAGTCGCGACCGTGGGCAACCTGCCAATCACACAACCAGACCTCAAACACCATTCCCAGAAATCCCGCTATACAAATTCCGGCGGAATCACTGACAGTCGTCGCTCCGAGTGAGAATTCGCGGTCCTCCTCCGGTACCTGGTCCCCAATTTCGGCGAAAGTATTAACATAAACCAGTCCGCCTAACAGCCCTTCCCAGAAGATGACTGTAAAGATTATGTACACACTCGGGATGAAGTCAAATAAGGCGTTTAATGTCAATACGACCAGATTGATGATCTGCAGCAGTGACGGAAGGTAGAGATCGTGAATGCGGAAGAACGGGGTGGACGATCGTGAGATGAAAACACCAACCTGATAGATCGCATTGTACGCGGGATAGAATGCACGGTAATGCTCGAACGGCGAATCTTCAAGTGGAAACAGAAGGGTTGGAGAGACACCTTGATTGATCGTGTATTCGGCCACATAGACTAGCAGCAGGGGAAGCATACTGTGCGGGAATACGTAAGCATGCCAATCATAACTTGATGACACTAGCGTGCACTTACAAGGGAAAGAAAAGACCTCTAGCTCGCTGCAGGTTGGCTTTAAACACCCGCAAGCTGAGCATCTGACTCGTGTCGCTCCCTTTGGTTCGATTGGGGAAAACTGACGAGCCGAGTAGACCGTGCCGCTCATCCAGAGGGTCATCCCGATCCCGGCCCTCCTGGTCAATCGCACGATACTCAACATGTGCAGCAGGCAATGGCCGTATGGGAGCTCTTGGCAGAATGGCGAAGAAGCTCACCATCATGATCGCTGGCAGGCAGGCAGCTGCTAGGAGCGTCGACTTGACACTGAGTCCCATAGAGGTAGTTGCAACGGCGTATGCACCAGCACCGACCAGCCCGGCAGCTCCGGTACCACTACCCCAGGCTGCCAGACTAAACGGGCCGTAGAAGTGCGTCAGTGCAAGGAAGCTCAGTTCGCCTCCTCCGCTCGACAAGCTCGCCAGAATGATACCCGCGATTTTGGTGGAAATTGAACCGCCATCTGTATAGGCTGGGCTCAAGGCCACCAAAAGCATACCCAGAGCCGAACATAGCACACAGAATAATACCCGAGTAGGATATGGAACCAAGTGGATAAAGTAGGGTGCAATCAGCTTCGTTCCGAATGATGGAATGACATCTGCGAGAAGAACAACGCCCTTGGGGACACTGGGCCCCACCAAATCGAGGGCAGCGGACAAGATTATAACATAGAGGACATTGTTGATCAAGCCTGTTGCATTTCACACATGTCGGTTAGTGAGCCACGAAGAGTTCTTATCAGTTCGCGGAGTCTA